GCATCACACTGTACAAAATAAAACTAAAGTAATTTTTAAGGTAGTATTTATAATGTTGTGGTTGGCACCTGAGAGCATTGGGAAAAGGATCTTGTGTTATTTTTAAAAACTCTCTGAAGGGAATCACGTTGCAGCTTGCTGTGTGCTGGTGGTCCCAGTGCTGTGTGTGCCCTGATGTTTCTGTGTGATCCCAGCTCTGCTTCTATGGATCTGAGTTTTTTTCCTTCCTCGTGTTGCAACTTTGATGCTTTTGTGGGCTCAGGCCCAGTGGGCATTCTGCATCTGGCAGGGTTTTTGTTTTCAAAGTTCCTCTTTCTTGTAGAGGTGGCAGTTGCCTTTCCTGGTAGACCTTACTTTTCAACTGGATTGAAGTAAGCATTTCGATTCTCCCATCATAAAGCTGCCCTTTTATCTCCCACTTTCACCGCGCAAGTTGGTGAATGTCACCTCTGGCTGCACATACTAGTCACCAGGGGAGATTTAAGAATGATTCTGGTACCCACACTCTCGTCAGATCCTGATTCATGTGCTCTGGGGTGGGGGGTCCAGGCATCAGTATTTTAAAAAGTACTCCCTCCACGTTTAGAACACGCAGCCAGTGTTGTAACATGATTTCCGATGGCTGTACCACCCATCCAGTTATTTAAAATCCTTTCATCAAAAATGTTACAGTGCTCAGGGTGAAAAGCTGGTTGTCTTTTGTCTGGAGGATGGGGACGGAAGAGAAGAGAAGGCAAGCGGATACTTTGTGTTCACTTGTCCAGCAGCTGATTGGGGTTATTGTGGGTTGCTGACTTCCCTCTTCCCGTGCCTGTGCTGGGCCGGGCCGTTTCTCAGTTCTCCTGGCACCGCGTACGGCGACCACGCGATAAAGTGCCCCCGGAATTGGGGAGAAAATCATCCTTGGAAAGTAAGCCTTGTAAGAAAAAGGAAGCTGCAGGAGTTTGGTCAGATGTAAAGTGACCAGCAGGTCCGAGGAGACAGCTTGTAACTGTGCTGCCGAGGACACACGGCACGGTGGTCCTGGGCTGGCCCTGGGATGGCGGAGTTTCTCCTTAGGTTTGGACGAAATCTGATGCGCGATTTAAACAAGCGTGTATAGGGCGTAACACCTGCTGGGCACAGCTCCAGGCAGTTGAGCTGTATAAATTAGTTCTGGTTTCACAACCATCCTTTGGTGATGAGAAGCTGAGGCAGAGAGTTAGTGACTTGCCCAGGGTCACACTGTGGGGATTGGCAGGCAGGTCGTCCATCTCTGGAGTTGGGCTCTTTATGGGTAGTTAGACCACAGACTCCCTGGTACCCGGGACAGTCCTGGCTCCGGGCAGCACCATGCCTGCTTCTGTGGGCCGCTTCCTGTGCCTCAGTTTCTCCTGTACTGGTTAATGGGTGGACAACAGATGATGTGATTTAAACAGCAACTTTTACTTACTCTCTTTTCAGGCTAGCTTATGGGACTCCACTTCCTACTTCCTTTAGTTATTGTGGTTTCTCTTTGGGTTTTATTATTACTTACTTCTTTAGTTTTTTTAAAAGGCAAATTAGACATTTTTATCTGGAAAGGAAAACTATTTTAGGCATAGACATGAGCACAGTGGCCTTTTTGTCCTGGGTGAGCTATGCTACAGACTTGGAAAATTCCTCCCGCGATAACTGGAATGCCACTTTCCTCCCCTTGATCACTCTTGGGAAATCCAGTGGGTGGGTGCTGATAACACCGTTAGCTGTTGGAAACCTCAAGATGCCTGGGTCGCTCTACCTCCGATCAGTGCCTGAAAGGAAATCGTGGCTCAGGGGTGAGGACGGGGCGGCATTTCTGTCATTTCTTTGTAACTAGCACTTGCTGTTGCCAGTGGTAGAGGTGTCTTGACCATCTTCTCCCAAGGGGGTCCATGAGGGGATGGGTGAAGACTGTTTAGTTTCTGTCTGCTGGTCTGCAGTGAAATTTGACACGAAACTTATAATTAGATGATCAGGCTTAGGGCTGGCCTGCTGTGGCTGTGCTAAAGGAAGGAATTTTGATTTGCGGGTGATGAATTCCAGAGGACGTGCGGCTTGTCAGCAGGCTGGCCCCTCCCAGCCCCCGGGATGGAGGGCCTGGTGGCTGTAAGCTGGCCCTTCACTTTCACCTTCAGGATCCTGCAGGGCAGGACACCACCTCCAACTCCTGCCAAACCTGTCCCGGCCTGGTCCCTCCATCTCACTTCCGCCATCAGATGGTTTGAGGACAGGGATCCCTGGCTCTGGGCGGAGGAGAGGACAGCTGGCAGGTATAGGTCCATGCTGGGTCCTTCTCCCAGGATGTGGGTGTCTTTCTCAGCAGGTGCTTCTCTCCAGGGCCGACCACAGGGGCCACCAGCCTGCCCCCTAATGTGGCAGTGCCACCTGGCCTGTGTCGGAATGATTGGGGTGGAACTTGTCCATTTGGCGGGAAACAGTTGTTTATTGGAAAAGGACATGAAGCTTATACAAATACATGTGTGTAAGTATCATGCCTTTAATCCAGGTCCCAAAGACCCAGAGACGAAGGGGCCTTCATTTCTTTTGTGTCAAGAATCCTTTTGTGCCCGAGTTGCATGAGCGCATGATCTTTCTCTGAATGCTCTATGTAAGTGCGTGCCCTAGAATACAAAGTTTTATCAGGAAACCAGGCTTCCTTCACCGAGGGCAGGTCTCCTCACTGTCAGGATGTTTAAGTAAGTGGCGATCTGCATAAACACTTGACGCGGTGGCAACTGTGATGCGAAATCGAAAGCCTCTGTGTTTCTACGGGTGACAAAACCACAGGTATTGTTCCTTGATGTCGTTTCTGGTTTGGTGCGAGTATGTCTAAGAGGAGGAAGTGCTCAATCTCAGAGGATGTTGAGGACGAAGATTGCATTCTTTCCCCTGTCCAGGTCATGGACCTCTGGGTTCTGTTCCCACTGGAGTCAGCAGCTGGGCTCTGTAGCCCAAACGGAAAAACTGCAGGCGGAGTCACAGAACTTCCTCAGGAACAGGTTCGGATTCCAGCCGGGGAGAGAAGCTGTAAAAGACACCCTAGAAATAGAGTGAACTCTCCAAGGGACCCTGCGAGTGTCAGCAGGCAAGCTTAGCACTGTGGGTTCAGAAGGCCCCTGCTAAGCTCCTCCGGGGAGCGTGGGTGCCCAAGGCGCTTGGGTCCAGTATGGGTTGTCGTCCCGCCATCCAGGGCTGTGGAATCTAGTGGCGGAAGGAGGGCTGATTAATCCTGGGGCCTGGGACGGCTTTGGGAGGAGGCCTCGTTTTAAATGTATGAATCGTCCTTCCTGGAGTCAGTGTACCACCTCCCCACACAGGGAACAGAGAAGGGAAATGAAGGGCCACCTGTGAAAACAGGGACACCACACTGATGAGACTTGGCCTCCGGAGACCAAGGAAAGGGGGCCCACTGGGCTGGCCGCTTACCCGGGATCTGCACCCGTTTCTAATGTTGGTTGTTGTTTTGCATATATTACACATATATTTAATCGTCACAACTTTGCAAGGTGCTGTTATCCGTCCCATTTCACAGAAGACAAGGCTAAATCTCAGGTGGTTAAGTAGCCTGCCCATGGTCCTGGACCCATGCCCGCTCTCCACCACTATTCATCCTTGCATCTGAAAACAACCCATCTCAATGTGTCTTCTTCTTTAAATCCTTAGTCGTAGGGCTGTCATTTAGCTGGATTTCCGACGGATCTGGATGATGGTTGTTCTGTAGTTTAGTTGTAATTTTGATGTGGGTTTTCTGATGATTAGACATGGGGGGATAAAAGTATTTAAGTCTGACGAAATTTCAGATCTTTGTGGGTTTAACACATCCCTCCCCGCTCTTCCCCTAAGTCTGCAGTTCAGAGTAAAGTTGGGAGTCGAGATGCTGAAATGCTAAGTGCAGGGTGTGAATGGAGCTTCTGGCTTGAATGAGGCTTCTACCATTTTGAAAATCAGACCAAATTGTTACAAAACAAACTAAGAAATTGTATATAAGAGAAAAACGTGTGTGTGTGTGTGTGTGTGTGTGTGTGTGTTTGTTTTTAATGGGGGGGGGGTAAATTTGTGGCTTCACTAACAACACATTTATACTCAACACATTTATTAGCACCGAATACATAGGGGCAAGTAAAACCACATGGTCCAGCCCTTCCTACTGGTAGAGAGACAAATATTAACTGCAGAACAAGGCGTGGACCTGCGATTGTGCTGAGTGGAGGAGCCAGAGCTCAGAGGGAATGTGAGGGGCTGGAAGTGTGTGTGTGTGTGTGTGTGTGGGGGGGGGAATGATGGGACTGGAAGGGGGTCAGGAACCCCCTGGGAAGTGACGAGTGGTCAAGTGGATTGATGAGTGGCCGCATGGCCGCATCCAGACAGCTGGACAGGAGCGAAGGTCTGGGAGGCAGAGCAGGACATTGGGCGCGGGCGGCTGTGCGCACCTGTGTGAAGGCAGGCTTGCCTGGTGCCGTGTCAGAACAACTGCGATGCTGAGGTGTGGCACAGATGGCGTCCAGCATCAAGATCCATGGTGGGAGCATTTTATTTAAACACGTTCTTTTAAAATGCAAAACCAGGAACAAGCCGTGCAATTTTTAATTAAAAAGAAAATAGGGGAAGCATTATTTCAATTCGTAGAGGTTCTGCTTCCCGGCATATGTTGACAGTTTGGCTCAAATAAACTCACAAAAATTCAAAAAAGAAAATAGGGCACGGGTATCTTCCTAGTCTCAGAGGTTAACTACAGTGCGTGACGAGGTTGTGCAGGAATTGCTGGCGGTGGGGATGGGCCCGCAGCCCCTGCAAGAGGGACAGGGCCCTGCACTTAGATCCCGTGGCCTGGGCGCGTCACTGCTTTCTGCGCACCAGTGTCTCCACCCAGCTCAGCTCCAGCCACACCTACACTTGGGGTGACAATTCCATGGTCCCTCCCGGGGGTTTCTCGTGTCATGGTTGGTGGGTGCGTCTGAGAGGAGACATAACCACATCTTTCTGTTCCTTCCCCCCGCCAGGGCGGGAGCAGTTCCACGGCCTTGGCTCCATGTACTGCCGGGGGGCCGCCGCGGTCATCCTCACCTACGACGTGAACCACCCGCAGAGCCTGGTGGAGCTGGAGGAGAGGTTCCTGGGCCTGACGGAGACGGCCAGCACCGACTGCCTCTTCGCCATCGTGGGGAACAAGGTGGACCTCAGTGAGGAGGGGGCCTCGGAGGGCTGCAGGACGGAAGGGGACAGCCCCGGGCCAGCGGGCGGCAGTGCGCCGTCCAAGGGGCCCAAGCAGGTGCGGCTGGAGGAGGCAGTGGCTCTTTATAAAAAGATCCTGAAGTACAAGATGCTGGATGAGAAGGACATGCCGGCCGCGGAGCAGATGTGTTTCGAGACCAGCGCCAAGACCGGGCACAACGTGGACCTGCTGTTTGAAACCCTGTTCGACATGGTGGTGCCCGTGATCTTGCGGCAGAGAGCGCAGGGGCCGCCGCAGACCGTGGACATCTCCCGTTATAAGCCGCCCGAACGGACCAAATCTGGGTGCTGTGCCTGACCCTCAGGGGCCCCCGGCTCCCAGTTTACACAATTATCAAGGAGTGTGGGCAAGCGAGCTGTGGTCAGGAGCATAGAAACTCAAGGAATTCCTTCGTGCACACGGAGGAGCAGATCCGAGTGGAAATGACAGCTTGTTGTTAAGAGAAGGTCAATGTGAATCGTCACCTCTGCATCCTGTGCTGAGCGGTGGGGAGCTGCAGGATCTGGAGACGGTTGTCCCCGGCTGATCCTTTCCTGACACCGTGGCCTTGATGGAGGGTGGCTTGGGTGGGTGTGCACCTGTCTGAGCACCTGTACGTCTTTCATGCTTGTTGTTCTCAGACGGGTCTCTTCACTGTGACTTATCTTTGGTCCTATCATTTGGAACTTGTATCTGATGCATCACAAAGATTCTCCACATGTTAATTTATACAAAATCAGGAATCACTGTTTTTATACTGGTTGTAGCAGCATGAACGACACATATTATTAAAAAGAATTTTGAGAAGAACTTTGGTGTGGAGACTGCGTTGCTTTAGACTTTATTTTGTGCCCTTGGTGGACTCCTGGCTGGGGGCTCTGGGGAGATGCTGTGAGTTTAAAGTACTTCTCTCTTTAAAAGCTGCATTGAATCCTTACAAGGTCCAGCATATTTAGATCAGCCCATCTGCTTAGTTGTCTTAATGACATGAATTCCAGTAAAAACAAAGCAAAACTAAAAGCACGCTTTCTGCTAAGGTCGGCTTGGGTCACCGGGCAGTTACTGAATCAGAAACCCCATTTCTGCTGGTTGGTGGGTGCACTGTTGTGTTATTAGAAGATGCTAAGGCGGGGAAGCTGTGAGACAGTAGGTTTCGTTTTCTTAGAAACGTTATTGAGAACATGTAGGCCAGATGTGGGGACCTCTGGTTGGGAAAGAGATGTCTCAGCCAGCTCAGGCTGTTGTAACAAGATACAGACTGGGTGGACCAAACAGCAGACGTTTATTTCCCACCGTCCTGGAGGCTGGGAGTCCTGCATCAAGGTGCCAGCCCGTTCTGTTCCAGGGGAAGGCTCTCTTCCAGGTGCGGCCTCCTTCTCGACGTGTCCTCACTGGCGCACAGAGCGAGCTCTGGTCTCTCTTTCTTATAAGGGCACTACTGCTATCATAGGGCCCTACCCTCATGGCCTCCCAAAGGCCCTGCCTCCAAACACCATCACACTGGGGGCTAGGGCTTCAGCATATGGATTCTGGGGGAACACAAGCATCAGCCCATAACAGAAAGCAAGGTGAGCCTGGCCGGCGTGGCTCAGTGATTGAGCATTGACCTATGAGCCAGGAGGTCACGGTTCGATTCCCAGTCAGGGCACAAGCCTGGGTTGCAGGCTCAATCCCCAGTAAGGGGAGTGCAGGAGGCAGCTGATCAATGATTCTCTCTCATCATGATGTTCCTATCTCTCCCTCCCTCTCTGAAATCAATAAAAATGTATATTGAAGAAAAAAAAAAAGAAAGGAAAATGAGGCAGAAAGCTAGTGAGAACACAATCTTTTGTGAGTGGGTTTCTTTTGTGGGGCGGGGGTAGGGGGGGTGGGAGGTGTTCGGGAAATTTTCTGAGTGCCCAGGATCTCTGCCTCTGGGCTCCTCCTGGCCGCCTCCTCTGTCCTGTGCACACCTTGTCCAGGTGACTGTGCCTGCCCGGAGGATGGAAGGCGGGCACAGCCTCAGCGTGTGACTGGGGCTCCTCAGTTAAGGTGTCCGGTTACTACTGCTCATAATCTCAAGGCCTCAAATTTCAATTTCACAACGGTAGCCTGTTGAAAATGAAAATGGATCCATTTGGCTGATTACTTTTCATTGATTTGGTTTGATATGCCATTGCATGGGCAGAAGTTGTATTAATTTTCTGTCAAATGCATCTTTTTGGTGACACAGCTGGGAAACATGCTACCCAGGGAGACCCGGGAGCTTGTCTTTGAATGCTGTGGAGGGAAAAAAGCATCCTATGAAATTATTTCATGCTTGAAGGCAGGGCTGGCTGCATGTATTCTCAAGGCCCTTGCCCATCGGATTCCCTTGCCCATCTGCTCTGAGCACCCCCGGCTAGTGTCCGGGAACGGGAGATTGCCCGGGGATGCAACATTCCCCATTTACGACACTTAAGCGTTTCACCTGTTATTATTGTCCTAAAAAGAGGCTTCACTCTGGGCTCTGTTCCAAGGGCACAGCCTGGGCTCTCTCTCATTAGGGGGTTTGTCCTCAGATCCAAGTCTGCTCACAGGGTTCTGGTCATGACCTCATGTGGGTCTAATTCCCTATCAGGGAACCAGTTCTGAGAAAGCTTCAGGCTGGTCAGCCTCGTGAGTCAGCCGGTGGAGAGGGAGGGGATTTCTTTGCTGGACGTGGGTTTGCTGGTGTCCTCAAACATTCCTTCCACCCCTTAGTACAAACGCAGCTGCCCTGGGGCTGGGAGGCCACAGGTTAGTCTGCTGTGCTGCAGCTTTTCACCTAGGGTGCTGACATGTCCTCAGACAGATAAAAACCTTCTCAACAGTATCTCCTGGTTGGATGTCTCCTGGTGCCCTTGAGGCTTTTTGCTTGGTGGAGGCGTCAGGGAAGTTTTGGGTTGGATATGTTGTAATCTGGATGCAGTAAGTCATGGTTTCCCCTTTTCCCAGGCTGCTACACTGGTTACTTAAAAGTACAGCTTTGTCACCCTGGCTGGATTGACTCAGTGGTTAGAGGCCGGCCTTCGGACTGAAGGGTCACGGGTTTGATTCCTGGTCAAGGGCACGTACCTCATTCAGGTTCCCCAGCATGCAGGAGCCAACCAGGTGATGTGTCTCTTGCATTGATGTCTATCTCTATATCTCTATCTCTATCTCTATCTCTATCTCTATCTCTATCTCTCTCTCTCTCTCTATCTCTATCTCTCTCTGTCTCTCTCCCCCCTTCTCCCTCCCTTCCATGCTCTCTGGAAATCAATGGAAAAAATATCCTCAGGTGAGGACGTTGATGTCTATCTCTCTATCTCTATCTCTCTCTCTCTCTCTATCTCTATCTCTCTCTGTCTCTCTCCCCCCTTCTCCCTCCCTTCCATGCTCTCTGGAAATCAATGGAAAAAATATCCACAGGTGAGGATTAAAAAAAACAAAAAGTGCATCGTTGTCCTTTCTGAATCTGACATCCTGGTTTGAACAGAGCTGCCTTCTGTGCCAGAAAAATCCTCTCACACAAATGTCTGGCAGCCACGCACCTCCAGCATACAGTTTCCCTATAACAGAGGTAAGCCCGGTGCTCGAAGCCAGAGACATGGATCAGAGAGATGGTGTTTGTCCTCCAGAGAGAAGGGGAAGTGAAAGTGACTTCTGCCTCTTCCATGCTCCCGTGACCCTGATTCTGTAGCGTGCCGAGTGGGATGCCAACCACAGTTTGACCTTCAAACAGAGCGGGGGCTGGGTGCTGAGCCCCACACAGTCAAAAACCTGCATATAACTTTTGACTCCCTCTAACTTAACCACTAATGGCCTTCTGTTGACCGGAAGTCGTACCAATAGCATAAGGAGCCAATGAACACACATTTTTTATGTTAAATGTATTATATACTCTACCCTTACAATAAAGTAGAGAAGAGAAAGTGTTATTAAGAAAGTCATAAGGAAGAGAAAATACGTTTACAGAACTGTACAATTTATTGAAAAGAACCCGTGTGTAAGTGGACCTGTGCAGTTCAAGCCTGTATCATTCAAGGGCCAGCTGTAATTACTTTGAGGAAGGCAAGGCCTTGGAACCCAGCAGTCTGTGTCCAAGAACCCCTCCAGGGTTTGGAATGTTTTGGAGGCAAATCTGTGGCTGGGGGAGTTCCGGGTGGCACTTTTTAAATGTAATTTGGCCCAGGGGCCCTCATGCCTCCCTGGCCCTCCTACCTGCCCGTCCATGAGCACTTTCGCTCTGTGGCCTGAAGTGGTCTCTGATCCTCCCCACGTCTCAAAGCTGGACCAGGGACCTGCACTATTGGAAGTTGGTGGAGCTGTGGGCCCTGTAGTGTGTCTGTTCTGAAAGCTGCTGGGCTGAGGATGCCCCTTTGTAGTAACTTCTGAGCAGGTGACCGCCTAGTCTGCAAGCATCGGTGTTGCTCCCTGCCCTCCCCTCCCTTGGATTGGCCTTGAACTCACAGGCACCTCCCCCAGGAGGAGGATCTGGAAGGCATGGGGTTTGAGGGTGTGAGGCCCGAATCCCAGAGCAAGGAAAGGTGTGTCTAAGGCCAGAGTCCCCCAGTGGCTGGAAAGGATGCATACCCAGGTCTCACCCAAGTCCACATCCTTCCAGGTTAGGGCAGCTGGGAACCTGACTCTGGGCTTCAAATGCCCCATTCCATTGGCTGCTGTGTTTGTGTTTTGCCAAGGTTGTTCTTGGGGTTCAGGTCTCTAATTGGCAGATACCCACTGCCCAAGACAAGAGGAGCCATCCCGTATTGTATCCCCTCATCCAGTTGCTTCCATTGGAGAAAGTCATGCAGGCCTAGAAGCCATCTCCTAGGGCTAGTCTGACAGGCCCAGGGCTGCTGGCTTCTCCGTGAGGTGAACAAGGCAGGTCCTGTACCCCTCCCCCCCTGCCCCCCGTTCAGGACTGGTCGGCCTGGGGAGGGCCACTGTCACCTCCAGGATGCACAGTGTGTGCGTCTCCAGGGGCAATTCCCAGCATCCTCCTTGGACTCGCCCTCTGGTGGCCTCATTCACCCCTTGACTCCCCTGTGTGGCAGAGAAGCTGGACCCTGACCCCATATGATGAAACAGCCTCTTTGGAAATGGCTGCAGTTTTATAGCCAGTTTATGCCATTGCATGACCCACAGCTTCTGAGCCTGCTTCCACCCCAGCTGCCCTTCGTTCTCGAACTTGGCCGTGGACAGGAGGCAGGGCTCTGTGAGTCTGCCCTGCGTTCTGCAAGTGCCCCTAAGAGTCAGCCTGCAGGTGGGGAGGGTGTCAGGAGCTACTGGGCGTATGTCTCGCTAGGGAGGATGCTGGTGCCCTGCCCTTTGTGGCTCAGCACCTAACTCTGAAGTGTAAACCACAGAGGCATCAAATCTAAACCAAGTTTGTCAGGACAGTGACAAACTTGGTGTCTGCTCCTTTGATTGTGGGGATTGGAGTCTGAATAAACAACTGCCTCCAGAAGCTTTGTGGAGAGGCGCTGTGCTGGGCATCTTTCCAGTCCTGGCCTCAGCCTCTTAACCCATCTCGCTACTACAGCTGTTGCTATGGAAGCCAGCTGTGTACAGGTGTAGCTAGCTACCTTGCATCAGCTTTACCACCTCCATGTGGGATGCTGCCAGAGCCCACTCAGGCATGTAAGTGCTGACAGTCTTAGGCAACCCTGACCACTGGGGGCAAGAACTGGAGATTGCAAATCCCTCTCCTATGCCCGGGCGGGACAATCTGAGGCTTCTTCTGTGGCCTTCCTTAGCAGGTCCCCAGCAGGATAAAACCCTAAATTGCTAAGGGCAGTAGCCCCCTTCGTAAGGTGCCCTCCTTC